TTTCCTGATTTGAAATATCCGATCGGACAAAACAACAACTTTATTAACAATATGTGCTTCCAATTGGCAACTTTGATATTATCGATGTGATAAGATAATTACAACCGACGACAATGACGACAACAACAACAACTTTATATTTCAAATTTTGATTGATTAAATTCATCGACCAGTGAACAAAGTGGAAAAGGAAATTTTATTTCTTTTTCGAATCGATTGATTGATGACCGTTTGATTAATTTTTTCTTTTTCTTTATTTATTGGATGATCGAAAAATTACAAAAATCTTTGGAAATCTTTTTTGTTCAATTTCAATTCGAAATTCACATCGAAAACACCAGACGCACACACACACATAGCACAGAAGCATTACAAATGAATTCTTCACATTCAAAAAAATTCATAATTTTTCATTGATTAAAAACATTTTTTCACCATTAAAATTGAACATCTCTCGGGAAAAAAAAATCTTCATTTTTCTCTTCGAATCGATGATGGATTGTGTGAACAAAAACTCAAAACTCACAAACTCAAAAAAATTCAAAAATTGTCAGTTTTTATTTTTAATTTTACAATCATCAACAATTATCATTTTAATCGATAAATTGATAAACTTTGTAATGTGATGACATAATTTATTTATAAAAAAAAACCCAGCGATTACAATCAAAAAAAAGGTCACATTGGTCATTTTATAACATTCACATTGACATTATTATAATTTTCAGTTGATTTTTTAAATTTTTTTTTAAATTTTTTTATTTACCAGATTTATTTTTGGGTTTTTATTACCATTATATAATCATTACCATAATCATTATCATTATCACTCGAAATATAACTTGAGAAAGATTTTAAATGTTTGATTTACTGTATTTTCCAATTTTTCTTATCGTTTTTCTCATTCGAATCAAAAAAAAGTAACAAACTATGCTGATTAATTGATTATAATACCTGCATTACATTCCCTGCTTTCAAATTTTATTTTCGGATCAACTTTGTCGAAATTCAAACAACAACAACATTATCAATAGAGTGGGTGATTTTGATTTTTCTGATTTTCTGTCTTTCGGGATGCTATTAACCAAAAAGAAACACATTTAGCCTTTTTGCCAGAAACAAAAAATCTTATACTTTGTTCTAATGGCCATCATCATCAACAACAACATTTCATCCAAAAACTGTCAAATTGAAAGAAAAGAAATTCAATCTATTTTTTGCTTGTAACGGGTAAAATAATAGACCTATACGTAGGTGTGTGTGTGTTAATGTTTGATTCAAATAGATCAAAATACAGGGTGAACAAAATATTATTATTTTTGTTATATAAAAGGTGTGTGTGGATGTGCAACAAGTGCTGTATTCAATTAAATAATGTTCATCAAATACATACATAACGGATTTTCTAGTTTAATGATGTTGATGATGAGGATGATACTTGATTATTTGTTTAACTTTCGTTATAATTAATTCTTTTTTTTCGCTTCAATTGCTTCAAAGATCATTTCACTCTTTATCTATGTAATGGTGGCTGTAAATGTTGTAAATGGAGATTTTTTTCACCCAAACGATTATAAATCAAACACACACACTCTACACACAGGTATTCAGATACTTAGGGCAAGTAAGCAATATATTTTTAACAACATTGAAATGAAAAACTTTTTAGTTGAAACAGATCTTTACTTCAATATTGGTTGGGTTTAAATTTACCCAAAATCAAATGAAAAAAAATGACACAGATAAGTGTGAAAGATGATCTATTTTTACAAAAAAAACAAGAATTTTTCATTTCATTTTTTTCAAATAAATTTAGGATTTCTATCGCCAAAAAATGAAATAATGATCAATGTCTTAATCTAATCTAATTTATAATGTCTTTGAAAAAAGTAAAAGTCATTATTAACGAAAAACCAATTTTTTTTTTCGTTCAAAATCATCATTAATCGTTCATTGACCAAAAATGTGCTCTACCTATATGGTCGAAAAAAATACACATTGACCAACTGACCAACCAACTAACATTATTATCTAAATACACGCACACAAACAAACAAAAGAAAGTGACCAAAAAAGATAAAGAAACTTACCATTAACATAATGTAATGTAATAATATGAATATATGGAACACAAACGAACGGGGAAAAATATTTTACCCATATGATAATGATGTTTATGTTGATGATTTGAATGAGATTTATATTTGCAAAAAATTTGAATTTCATTAGGTTCTCATCGGACCATTGATGATGATGAAACATTTTTTTTACCATTTCAAACGAATCATTATCGGCTTGTGAATTTTCTTTTCACCCGTGTGATGTGGGTATTTGAGATTTTTCTTTTGTTTTCACTTTTTGATAAATTTTCAATTTCCCCAAATTTTTTTTTTGTTGAGTAAACAACACAGATGACAACAACGAAAAAAAGGAATAATAATTTTTTTTTTGCGGATATCGATAGTATCGATTGTGGAAAAAATTTCATTCGAAATATTGAGGACACAAACAAAAACAAACGCATGACAACAAACCGGTAATCAAATGATAATCTTCTTTTTTTTTCGGGAAAATTAAGTTTTGATTTATCGATTTTGAAAGATAACTATCATCATTTTTTTATCCCATTTGAATGATCATCAGGTGATTGATTTTGTGATTGTTTTGTTTTTGTTTCGTTTCCGAGCAATTAGGTGGATACGATTCGTAATTTTGTAAACCTTATCTCACTTTCACATATGTAAACGATGAAGATTCGTGACTAGAATGTCATCATCATCATAATCACAAGTTTTAATCTCTTCTTCTTGATGCCAATAAATGATTATTGGATAAAGTGAAATCCAATCAAATTTTTGATGTTGATGAATTGATTGATAAACCGATTGCATGCTTTATCAATTTCTTTTTGTCATGATTAATCAATTCATTGATTATTATCATCATTATCATCTCTACGCATACACTTGAAGTGATTTAAAATCCATATATGATGTTTCAAAAAAGTTTTTTTTCTTCAAAAACACCCTGTATATAACAACAACAACAACTATTTCAACCTTGGATCAATTAGGATCAATATAGCTAAAGAATAAAAAAGAATGTTTTTGTTGTTGCTCTTCCTGTGAATATTGTGATGAAAAAAAAGTGAAAATGATGATTCAAAACATACAAAAAAAAAGATTGACCTTTAAAAGAGATTTTTTTGTTTCTTCGAAAATTCCACGTTTGTTGAATCCATTGTTTCTGTTCTGTTTTTTTAAAAAAAGTTTATTTTCAAACAAACAAACAAAACATGAAAAAAACATTCATCCATCTTGATTATGTTTGCCTGCCAATGATGCCATCATAATTTTCAAAATAGTTGCTTGATTTTGGTTTAAAAAAAACAAAAAGTTTTTAAGTTTTTTTTCAAAAAACGAAATTCGTTATTTTTCGCGAAAAAAAGAATCAAAATTTACGAACGAAAAAACATTATTTTTTCAATGACAAACAACACAAACAAGTGTTGTTTTCTTAAACAACAACAACAAAAAAAAATGATCACGTTTTTCATTTATGCTTGCCCCCCAACTATAAAATTCTTCCCATGTTTAAAATGTTTTTCCATAAAACATAATGTTCAGAAACTAAAATAATCTGGATCATCATCATCATTGAAACAACAACAACAGCAACAATGATGATGATTGAAACAATCATCATTATTATCATTCTGTTGTTGATGATGATGATGATGACATAATCTCAGGTGGGAAGAGAGATAGAGAGAAAAAACAAAAAGCAAAAATCATTACAAAATTCATCCATAGATCATTGCCAGCTTTTTGAAATTATTGTTGTTCATAGATGACATGTAATGGAATAATGACAGCTCAAGATAGCCCCAGACAACAATGAATTTGTTGTTGTTCTTTTGAATTGAAACTGATCAAATTTTCATCATCACCATCATCATCAATGATCAAAAATTTGAACAACAAATGTTTATTTTTATTGTCAAATCTTCCTTCCTTCCATTACTAAAAGTGTGTTTGATGATAATCAATTGATCAATCGATCAATCAATATTTTGATGATACAATTGATATTGTACATCATCGAATCAAAAATCAGATCAGATTTTCAACAGAAAAAAGTAGTTCTTCAAGTGATTGAATCAATTACATCCCCTCTAAATATTTGGCCAAAAAAGCCTATCGTTTTTTGTTTCAAATCTAATAAATTTTCTTGCTTGAATAGAAACCAATTTGATCTATGTGAAATAAAAAAAGTGTTATTTTCGCCACAAGATCCATATATTCTCTTCAACCATTTGTTCGTGATGTTATTTTTTTCTAATGTTGTTCGTTTTACAATCTAACCACGACGACAACGAATACATGACATCCATAAACGAGACAGAAATCAAGTGAGAGCGAGAGAGAGAGTGATTGAGAGAAAGAAATAGAACAGGTGAATCTTCTTTGCTTGAAAACATTAGTTTTATCAAATATTGAATGGCAAGTGAAGAAAAAGAGAACTACAATCTTTTTTTTCTATGGAAGAAACAGAAAAAAGAGAAAGTGAATTTCTTTCTCCATCAACAACATGAAGAAGAAGAAGAAAAATAACATCAGAAGATTCATCAGGTTAGTGTGGGCAATCCGTTTGGTCAGTTTGGATTTGGAACATGATATGAACTGAATGTGTGTGATATGTGTGTTGTTTTGGTCAGTTGTCTTTTGTTCAAACATTTTTTTCTTCTTCTTTCATCATTCAAATCAGTGTTTCATTTGAATTTTAAATTATTTCTTTTTTGTTTTTGTCTAAATGTTTGAATGAATTCTCGTTGAAAAAACAATGAATAATATTTTATTTTTGATCGATACGTTCGATCGAATTGGTCGATTTGAATTGGTTTTTTTCTGTTTTTGTTTTGCTTTCAAATTTTTTTTCTTGTGATACAAAAATGTTGAAAATTTGAATTTTTTTTTTGAAATTGTCAACCAACACTGTGGTTATCATCAACATCACATCATTATCATTGAAGCAAATCAACCAAAAAAAACCGAAAAATATCTAAATCAGAAAAATACTGAATTTACCCAAAAAAAATGGCTATATTAACACCACCAATATCATTATGTCGACGACGACGACGACAACAACAAAACGTTCGATTACAATTGAACGGTAGTAGTTTATCATCATCATTATCATCAACATCATCAAAATCAACACAGACACATCATTCAAATATCATTATCACAAAACAACAACAACAGCAACCATTCTTGTCATCATTATTTTCACTATCATCACCACAATCATCATCATCATTATCATTGTCGTCGTCGTTGTCGTCTTCGTATATATCATTATCATCGGCGTCAATCAAATCATCATCATCATTATATAATAGTCGTCACCCATATGGCGCCAAATGTCAATCATTACAACAACAACAATATCGACATCGACAATTGTCAATATTATCAATGGTCAATAAAATTATTATAACAATAATAATATCATTATCATTAAATCTATACATGTCGCATTTTTATCAACATTCAAATTTGATTGTTTATTCATGGAATTGGGATCATAATATTTCGGAAGGTAAGGCGAATCAGTAAAAAAAATCATAATAATCATATCTTCTTTAATCATCATAAGTAAATAAATGAAGAAATTTTCACTCAACAACAATCAGGTTTTTATTCAATGAAAATGAAAAAAATACATTTCATTTTGATAAATTCAAAAATATTTTTGAATAAAATTTTAAATAAATAATAGGTTTGAAGAAAATTTTCCTGGCAACAACTAATAATTTCAATTTTAGATCATCATTTTGGAAAAAAAATCATTTCATTTTACGCCCAAATAATTTTTTTTGAAAAATAGCATATTTATTGAATTTAATTTCAATTTTTTTAAAAATCTTCCTTGTTATGTTTTTTTTAAATAGAATTATTGGATCGTTTTATTTGTCTTCGTGCCAAAGGATTTTTTCCGCACGAACAACGCTGTGATCATTTTTATGAATGTCGTAATGCAACAATTGTAAATGAAGGAATTTGTAGGCCTGGACTTCGATTTGATTATCGTTATAGAAAAAAACCACGTTGTATACCATTAGATCAGATTGATTGTCGTATAACACAAATTGATTATCAAAATGAATTTACTAATAATAATGATGATTATCCGGAACCAAAATTTATTGGTAATCATCGAATCACAGAATCATCAACAACAACAATGGCAACGACAACAACAACAACAACACCAACGCCAACTACAACAACAAATTTACCGCCATTGTTAAATATTCATCGTCAAATACATCATAATCAAATACCATCATCATCGACAACATCTTCAAATCATCATCATTATCATCATCATCATAATCATCGATCATTACCATCATCACCACAATATGGTCATTTTAATTCAATGACCACGGCCACTCATTTTACACCATCATCATCACCTAATTCAAGACCAATATCAACAATAATAACAACTTCAGCAATAACAGCACCAGAAACTACAACAACATCACCGATAATAATGACACAAACAACAACAACAACAACTGAATCTCCAATATCAAAATCATCATTTCAAAATAATGAACAAAATTTCAATCGTCATAATCATCATCAACGTGCAACTTCTTCTAATGTCGATACAACAATGTCACATTCAAATAATAATGATAATAATGATGATGAAAATTTCCTGAATAAAAAACGTAAATTATTAAAAAAACCATTAAAATTACGACGACAACGTTTACAACAAGATGAAATTGATGATTCTAATTCGTTGTCAGCTACAATATCCGGAACGATTAATAACAATAACAATAATAACAACAACAACAACAGTCATCATCATCGACAACATCAACAGTTACAAACACCGCCACCACGATTGACCGAACAAATCCTTACACGTGAGTATTGTGTTGTTGTCGAACAATATAGATATTCGTTTGTATTTCTTTTTTGGATACAATCTACATATTAGACAACCATATGGATTAATAATGATGATGAAGATGAGGATGTCCTCACATGTCATATTAATTTTACATTTACTTTTACTTTTACGTTTGTTCGCTTTTTCCGTGCTTTGTTTTGCTTTTCTTGTCAATATGTGGCTAAAATAATGATTTTTCTCTATGTTGAACGTTTTTTTTGGCCATTATCATTATGATTATCCGTAATGGACTTTTTTTCACGGATTTTCTTTATTCGGTCCAATTTTTGTTGTTTTGCTTTCGATTTTTCCGGTATGAATCGTGTTTCATCATTTGTTTGTTTGTTTCATTGCTACAAAATACATTATTGTTAGCGGTTGTGAATGTTTTTCATTCGTTAAATCTTACCTTAGATTTATTGAAATATTGTCTATAAAAAAGGTTTGATGCTTCAAACAAAATTGACTTTGATAAGAAATCCAGAAAAGAATGAAATTTTTCAAATGCTAATTTTTCATTAATGAAAATGAAAAAAATTATAACCATATTCGACAAAAATGTTAATGATGATGAGCATATCGTATTCACTGTCTATTGGCGATTTCAATTTACTTTTTTTTTGATTTGATTTTTCTGTTTTTAATACAAATCAAATCAATTTTTTTCTTTTTTACATACTTAATGTATTAATGGATTTCTTTGATTATATTCGTAGACTTATCATTATGATAATGATGAGTATAATCCTATTTCCATCACTTATGATGATTATGGTGGTGGCTATTAGTAATTAAAGGGAAAAAGAAATTTTTCTTTAGGATAACTTCAGTTATCATATCTTAGGTTGTAAATTTGATCTCAATATAAAAAAAATATGGGAAGCTTGTTAAAAAAAAGAAATTGTTTTTTTTTTCTCAAGATTTTCAGTTTCTATTAGACTAGATTTTAGTGTGTTTAAATTGAAAAATTTTTCTCACCGGATCATCATCATCATTGAATATAAATATAGCTCTAATTTTCTTGTTTCTGAATTTGTTGTTTTTTTTATTATTCAACAAAAATTGAAAAACTTGGATACTAAAATGGCCAATGTTTCGGACATTGAAAAAAAACATCCAATCAACAAATTACCATTATCTTTGAAAGAAGAAAATAATTTCATTGAAGGATGATGATGATGAAACGTGACACGTGTAACAGTTTATTTATTTATTTTCAATTGATGTTTTTTAAAACAAAAAAAAATTCAGGATCATTTTTAATTTGTTGATCATGATGATGTTTATGATGGTAGAGAAGACACTGTGTGGAGATAATCAATCAAAAGAAAAAAAACATGGCCACATAATTTTTCTTATTTTTTCCTGTTAAATTTTTTCATTCATATTTTTGTTTGCTCGTGATTTTTTTTTGTTAAAACTAAACATCGTTAAACTTTGAAATTGTGAAACAACCAATGTTTTTTTAGTTTTCTAGTTACACAATCTAATTAAATGTTGATGCGAATATGATTGATTGATTGATTTGATTCGGAGATTGATTGAACATTGATGAAGATGCTTCGTTTTACAACAAAAAAAAAGTTTAAAATGCTTGTTTTTTTTGACTGAATTAATGATGGTATATTTATCGATTGATTGATCGATTGATCAATCGATCGGTTACACATACACACACACACACAAACATTGCCTTTACGATCAATTTCAAAATGATTGATAATTGATGATTGACTAATCACACTAAAATCAGATAATGATAATCAGTAAAATTTAAATTTTTGTTTTTGTTTTTTTTTGGTCAATAATTTTTTCTTGTTTATATTTTTTAAATTTGATTCGATTTGAATTTTTTCCTTACAAAAAAAAAATAATAGGAGCAATTTCATCGTTAAATTATGATCAAAATCCAAGTCAACCACGACAAAAATCGATTCATTGTCCACATCCGAATGGTTATTATCCGGATCGTGATGATTGTCGAAAATTTTATGCTTGTGATGATGGACGTGCTTTTCTTATGTCTTGTCCATTAGGTTTAGCATATGATGAAATGACCGGTACTTGTTCATGGCCTGATATGGTTGAAGGTTGTCGTAGTGAAGAAATGCTTCGATTTAATTGCCCGGAACCAAATGAAAATGAAATTCTTGATTATGGTGATCCACGTTATCCAACAAGTGATTGTCGAAAATTTGTTGTTTGTATTCAATCAGAAATTCATGGTGCACGTACACCAAGATTACTTGGTTGTGAAGAAGGTCTAGTATTTAATCCTGATTCACGTGAATGTGATTATCCCGAAAATGTACCAATCTGGTAAGTGTGTTTATAATTTTTTTATTTTGTTAATTAATTTGTTTTCTAAATTTCTTTATAAACTTCTAGCTCTAACTATTATGATGGACATAAATTTTCACGAAATCTTAGCCGTAGTATACATTCATCACGTAAAAGAAAAAATCGTTATTTAAATCATTGATCATCATATATCGACAATGAAAAATGAAAAATGAAAATCAAATAAAATGATTTCTATTAATCATTAATCATTAGTTTACCATCATTATGCACAAATACTAATACATTAAGCTTTCTATGCCAAAGTTATCGAATATAATGAATTAATTAGTTTTTTTTTCTGTTTCTTCACCTAATTACACAACATAATTAATTGATTGCAACAAAACATTTTGTCCATACTTATTATTATTCATATCTCCTTTTATATAATCAATTTTCATATTTTTCCAAAAACAACAAAACAAGACACACCAAACAGATTTATAATTATAATTTGTATTTCAAATTTGCTATTATAAATTTATTATTCAAAACAAAAAAAAAATAAAATGATAATAATAAAAAAATTATATATTCGAAATTAATAATGATGATAATAATTTTGGGTTAAACATGATGATCAAGACCTTTACGTTGATAACAACGTTTTCTTGCATTACTTAATGAACGAGTTGCTAAACGTGTACTGAAATTAAAACCAATAAAAAAACGATTCCATTCACGTACAAATGCTAATATACGATGTGTTATAAAACCATATGTACGAATTTCATGACCAACAGTTTTTAATGCTGAACGAACAAATGTATCTGGATTTGGTATCATAAATGATACACCGGGATTTCGGATCATATTTGTTGTTACATAATATGGTACAACTGATTGTATTATAATACCACGATGACGATATTCCCAATATAAACCACGTGAAAAATAATCCATAAATATTTTCGATGCTGAATATAATGTTAATAATGGTGATGGAAATAATGCTGAAAATGATGATATATTCAATATAATACCGGATTTTTGTTTTTCCATTAATGGTAAAACTAAATATGTCATTCTTACTACTGAAACCATATTACAATTCATTATATTTGTTATAAATTTATTACCATCCAATATTCGGGTAAAATATTCCGGATATTTATATGACATACCAACATTATTGATTAATACATGTACCGAACCAGGTAATGATCGTATTTGTTCACCAATATAATCATATGAATCATGTCCTTGTGTAAAATCAACAACCAATGTTCGTATATCGGTACATGATTGATATTGTTTAAGAATTTCTTGTTTAACTTTATCCAATTTTTCTTGATTACGACTTAATAATAGTAAACAATAACCTTTTTCAGCCATTGCTTTTGCATATGCTAAACCAAGACCATCAGTTGCACCGGTTATAATTGCCCATGTATTTGGACCGCCATTCCATTTGACCATATTACCAAAAATCAATGGACTAATGAACCATGTAAAAATTGCTTGCATAAAACGTATTAAAATCATTAAAAAAATTATCAATGATATTGTAAACAATATGATTAACCATAATGGTGGATAAAATGGACATTCTTGTTGATTATCATCATCATTGGTGATTATTATTGATGATGATTGTTGTTGTAATTGTTGTTGTTGTTGTTGTTGTTCATCATTATATTGATCAATTATCATTGAATAATTTCGACCGATATTAAACAAATTATCAAATCTGGTTAAATTGATTGATAATAATGGTAATGAAGAAATGTTACTGTTGTTGATTGTATCGTTGTCGGTGCTGTTGATATTAGCCATTAATGCGATTCGTTTTGACGAATGCTGTTAAAATAAAGATTTTTTTCCTGAAATAAATAAATTCCATCAAATGAAAAATGACAAAAAAAATATATTCAAGAAAAAAAATAGTAAAACCAAAATATTCAAACAAATGTTTTTTATATATGGAAATTTTGTATCAATTTATCTGGCTCTGTTTTTGTTTTCCGAAAAAATTGAATTTCTCAATCATCTTTTTTTTGGTTGGTTTCAATAATGTACATTTATTTTTTTTTCCTCGTTTCAAATGAAAGAAAATTAGTTTGATAAACTATCTCTCACACAATACCTTTGTTCTTTTTTTTCTGGATAAATTTTTATTCATCTTAATTTTGATCTGTATATCGATTATAATGAACTTATTACCAATAATTTTCTTAAAAAAAATCGATTGCAAAATCAACCTTTCCTCTTTTGCTTTTTACTGTCAATTTATAAATTGATTTGCGTCACATTTGTTAACAGATTCTATTTTTATGGATAATCATAATCGATTTAAATAAAATTTGGTAAGATTTTTTCTTTCATCATCTTTCTTCATTTGTTCTTTATTCAGTGCAGATTATCAACATAGTTTGTTTGTAAATGATGGTTATAATTTTAAAATGTTGAACATATTTCCTCATATTTAATCAAATAACTTCTGTTGTTTGCTTACTGGGTAATTTATTTATTGTTATGGAAGATAAATTGTATCTTTTATAGAGAAATGTGGGGGAGGAAAACAGAAAAGATCTGCAAAAAAAAGGGGGTGAATATTTCATTGTCATCGATTATGAATTCAATTCAATTCCAAAAAAAAAAGTCTATAAATTGTTTGAACATTTTCTTGTTTGAATTCATCCATTATTATTGTCAGATTTTTTGTTTTAATGTGTTAATTAAACGGCAAACGTATATTGTTTGTTTTTTTTCATCTATTCGTAATGATTACCGACAACGACATTAACAATATTAACAACAATCAAACAACAACAACAATAGTAACATTGGCAAAATGTTTAAAAGATGGTACCATTGAAGCTGGTAAAGATTTGGCATCAATGTTTTATTTGATGCCAGTTCATGAAACAATCAAAGATGATATTTATGATGTAACCAATTATGAGGTCAAAGTAAGATTTATTTTTTTGTTGATAATCTCAATCAATTGTTTTGTATTAATAATCGAAATTTTTTTAAAAAAAACCAATAAATCAATAAATAGCTAATTCCATTAATCGCATTTATGGTGGCCATTGAACAAATCATACGTATTATAATGCGTAAAAATATGTCACGTTTTGAAGATTGTATTATTAATATTGCTTCGTCACTTGTATTTACATTGACCAGGTTTGTTTCAAATCTTTTTTGTTTCTTTTTTAATTCCAATACCTTACATATTGATTTGTCTACCTACCTTTTGCTAACCTAGAGTAATGATGTTTACCATTGTATTGCGAATATATTCATGGATTTATGCAAATTATGCACTAGTTAATCTACCCTTGCATAGTGCAACAACATGGATTATATCATTATTATTAGTAGAATTTGTTTATTATTGGACACATCGTGCATTACATGAATTGAATTTTTTATGGGCAGCACATCAATTTCATCATATGGCTGAAGATATTAATATTTCAACAACAATTCGTGATTCAGTTGTTGATTTAATTATCTATGATGTTTGTATTTTTTTTTTCTTCAAAAAACTGCTTCATTTTAATAACCTTTAATAATAATCTTTCACCCTCTCGAATATAGATCTTTCCAATACCATTATCATTTATTATACATCCACAAATTTTATTTGTTCATCTACAATTTTCATTAATTTATCAAATATGGTTACATAATGAAGTTGTTGGTCATTTAGGACCATTAGAATATTTGATTAATACACCAAGACAACATCGTGTACATCATGGAAAAAATCCATATTGTATTGATAAAAATTATGGTGCTTTACTAATGATATGGGATCGTATTTTCGGTACATATCAAGTTGAATTGGATAATGAAAAAATTGTCTACGGTACTGTTAGTCCAACACCAAAAACATTCGATATGTTAACATTAATGTTTGGTTATTATAAAAATGTATGGGAAAGATTTAGTAATGGTAAAGGATTTCATGAAAAAATGGCTGCATTATTTTATGGTCCTGGTTGGTCACCAGGTAAACCACGTTTAGGTTTGATTGAAGAAATACCAAATGTTGATTATCGTCAACCACGTTATATTTATCAACCATATGTTGCTATATGGAAAAAAGCCTATATCCTTTTGCATTCGTTAATCATTTTGATTGGTTTCTATATGATGGTTGATCATCCTTTGATTGTAAGTTTTTCTTGAAATTTTTTTAAAATTTTCAACTTTTTTTTCAATTTCAAAATTAGAAATTTGATCCATGGAAAATAACATCGTGTATGATTTATTTGCTGTTGACAATCACTTCATTTGGTGCATTATTCGATAACAGGTTTGACATTTTTTTCTGGTTTTTTAGTTTTGAAATATCGATTTTGTTTGTTTGTTTGATTGATAGATCTTATCTGATTATATTGGAAATATTTCGTTGTATTATTTATTTTGTATTTGATTATTTTATTATACAATCAACAAAATGGCCAATTCATCGTAATACATCAATATTGATACAAATATTATTATGGATAATTCGTTTTGGTCATTTATTATCGATCATATTTTGGATTTGTATGTGGATTAGAAATATTTTCACCAATGATAATAATAATAACATTGATAATAAACACCAACGAAAAGGATTATCAACAACCGATTCAAATGAAAAAATTATCTATGATTCAAATGAAGGACAAAGTCAAACATCACAAGATTCGGATGAAACAATGATGAATCAAAATCATTCAATACCGGTTAAATTTCGTGCCCGAGAATTGATAACAACAACAATAATGATGATATCAGTTTTTATACCATTATTGATATCATATTTATTTGTTATACCATCATGTTCATTATATTATGAACAATATTTTTTTGATAATTATTTAACATTTACCAGGAATTTAACCATCATTACTTCCAATAATTCAATATTTTCACAGTTTGGCAGTAATTAGCTTCTTTTTTTTTGCCATTACCATTGACCGTCAATAGATGGCGTCAAAATACATTGAATCAAATAAATAAAAAAAAACTCATTTTCATAAACATCCGTTCGTTTTTTCTGTTAAAAATAATAAAATTTTTACCTTCAAATTGAAAAATAATAATTGTTATTCGGAATAATCATTCAATTTGTGGAAAAAAAGTCAATAGAAAAAAATCATACGATTGATTGAAAATAATCCTTGGTAATTGATTTTTTTGTTACTGTTTATTTTTTTAGCTGAATCATTTCGAATTCATCAACAGGTTGCCATTGAAAAACATCAAAATTCTTTGCTTTTCATTATTTACAATGTCTATGTTCAATCATTCATTTCATAATAATAATGATGATGGAAATTATCCGTTATTTATTGGTCGATTTTTGGAAACAAGAAACCGATTCAAGAATCAAAGAATATCCATTAATGAATGGTGGACCATGGTTATCATGGACAATCGTTATTGTTTATATTTTTATAGTAAAAATTTTCGGTCCAAAATTCATGAAAAAACGTCCTGCATTTAATCTAAAATCAGTAATCATTATTTACAACATAATTCTTATTCTAATTAATGTATATTTTTTCTATCAATATTCAATTGTAAATCGTTTTGGTATTGATTTAAATATTCATCGTTTCGAACGTATTTCATCAGAGCAATCATCATCGTCATCATGTTCATTGAATTTATTCTATATGTTTATGTTAAGTAAATATTTAGATATGATTGAAACAATAATTTTTCTATTAAGAAAAAAATTTCAACAAATTACAACATTACATGTTTATCATCATTCAATTGCACCAATACTTGTACATTTATATATAAAAATTTCACCTTGTGGTGGTCCGGGAACAATATTTCCATTATTAAATAGTTTTGTTCATACTGGTAAGTAATAATTTTCTTCTTCTTTCTTCTTCTTCTTCTTTTCTAAAAAAATATAAATTTTGCGAAAAATATGCATAACGTGTGAATATTCAATAACAACAAACAACAAAAAAAGATTTCTAACCAAAAGTTTATTTTCCTGATTACAAATCGATAACGAAATATTATTTTTGTTCAATAAAATCAAAATTTTCCATCAACGAAGTTAACATTCGATTTTTTTTTGTTCTTTACGTCGAAAAAGGAAATCCTTTATAAAATCATATTTAAAAGGAAGTTCAGTGAAAATGCACTAAAAATGGTCAAAAAAAAGGTTATTGGAGGGTATCTGTCTTTACAACAAAAAAAAACAAGCGGAAAAAAAGGATATATCCAGCAGTAGTTGGTTATTATTGAATTTGATAACAAACAAACAAAAAACAGACAAGGAAAACTAATTTTCATTTGTTTTTCATTTAAAACTTTGACATTTTCTCCAATCGCCAAAAAAATGTAGAATACCTTTTTTTTCCTTCAATGGTCATCAATCGATGATTATTATTTAATGGAATAAAAATCAATAATGATGATTATGATTATAAGAAACGAAACGAAAATTTGCAATTTTTAATTAACCATGTGATGTACGAAAAAAAAGCTAGAGAGTTAGTGCGATTGAGGGAATGAAAGAGAGGGAGAGAATCCAAAAAAGTATTTATCAATAGTAAACCCTTTTGTTTTTGTTTTTTTTTTGCTTATCGGTTTTTAATGATCATATTTGATAATCAAAAATCAAAAAAAAAATTAAAGATATCTTCATGCATATATAATTGAATTACATTGAAAAAACATTGCCCAATTATTGATTTTTATATTATCTCTTTTGTTTTTTTTCGACTGCGACTTTTATCAGATTGATCGATCGATTTTTTTCGTGAATTTCATGTCATATTCTTTAGCATCATTTCAATTGAATATTATCCCGAGGGAAACGAATGAAAAAGAAAAAAAACTAATGAAATGTTTTGACAAGTTGAAGTTTTCTTCATTAAGAATAAATGAAAAATCCAATCTGGCTCAAATCAATTCAGGTAGGATAATATGATGACCATGATGATAATGATGTGCCAGGTAAATTTAAGCCAAAAATAATTTTTAAAAATATTCTCTTTTTGTTGTTGGCTGGTGATGATAAAATACCAAAAGAATTTGGATTTAAGATGAAAAAAATTGGATGGATGGAAAGAGAAATCAAGATTTGTTTGCTTTTTTGAAAACTAAGAGACTAATTTCAAGAGAAAGAGAGAGTTAAAATCAAAAAAAAAGATGGTACTAACGATAACCATAAAATTAAAAAAAAAAATGAAAAAGGTAGAAGAGAAATACTATACTATCTCTGTGTCTATGTCTAGGTAAGAGGTTGAATATCTGGATGATTTTTGTTTTCGTTTTTTTTCATTTTTCTTCGACAACCAATTTGTTTGTTTTTGTTTTGTTTTTGATAAATAATGCACCAAAATGGCCTAAAGGATTTACCTAAAAAAAAACGTCTACAATAACAACAACAACAACAAACAAAAAACAACAACAACAACATTAGCAGAAAAAATGGGTCTAATTATTTTGTTTTTCTCTCTTTCTTCAGATGATTGCATGTGATTTTTCAACAAAAAAAAAATTTGAAATTTCTGGTTAAAAATCATCATGTAAACAAATTAAGATTTGTCTATTAGTTTGTTTGTCTCTTGGTGCGTTTGTTGTTTGTTTTTTTTTTGAGATTTTCAATCATGCATTTCCTTCGTATTTAAACCCAAAAAAAAATTAAATTAAAAACCGTTCAAATTGTGATTTATTTTTGAATTTCATAACTTTTGAAATATTATTCTATCGAACAAAAACAAAAAATCAATTCCTTTTTCCCCTTCCCCTTGCCTCCCACCTTCAATTTAGGTAAATTTGAATCTCTAATCATCATTTGGATTTTACCTGTGTGTGTGTGTGTGTGGTGTATGCAGTGTTTATGGTGTAATCAATGTTCTGTGTAATCATCACACATTTGTGTTGTTGTTGTTCTGAGTTTGCGTATTTTGAATCTTTTTTTGAAAAAAAAGAAATGAAAAATACTTTGGCCACAAATGAACAATAGCTCTGTGTGGTATGTGCCTGCAGTCAGTGTGTGTATAAAATCAAATAAAAATCTCATCCATTGGTCAAAATCTCATCAAATTGTTGTTTGATTGCTGCTGTCAAACACACACACACATATTCAGAGACATAAAGAGTTCGGGCTGGTGTTTTTCCTATTTTTTTTCGTTTGCATCTTTTTTCAACTTTGCTCAACAGTTCAAACAATCAACGACAACTTTATTCATCAAATTTTTTTCTGTTGTTGTTTATCATCGACAAATTGGAAATTCAAATCGATGTGAAATATTGATTGATTCTTGAAGAATCCGCAACCGAAAATCACCTTATTCATTTCAATTTTTGTTTGTTTGTTTTGAAGAAATTTATCAACAAATAACAAATAGCAACAACGAAAAACATGGAAACATTAAGATATTATATGTTCGATTTTTGGGAACAAGAAAGTGATAAACGTATTAGTGATTATCCATTAATGAAAGGTGGCCCATGGATTGCATGGTCAATTGTTATAACATATGTTTATTTTGTTACAAGTCTTGGACCAAAATTAATGAAAAATCGTCAATCAATGAATCTACAATGGCTTATTGTTACATATAATTTATTAATGATATTAATAAATGGTTATTTTTTCTATCAAATAATGATACCATATCGTTTTGGTATCGATATAAAAATATGGGATTTTCAACGTACCGAACAAATTGATCATTCACCACGTACAATGCATATCTGTCTTTTAAGCTATTTATATTTAATTAGTAAATATATGGATTTAGCTGAAACAATATTTTTTGTATTAAGAAAAAAATTTAATCAAATTACTAGTTTACATGTTTATCATCATGCTATTGTACCAATATTAGTACATATGTTTATTAAAGTATCACCGGCCGGTGGACCAGGTGCTATGTTTCCATTATTAAATTCATTTATACATACTAGTAAGTATTATTCTTTATTATTATTATTCTACTTTTTTTTCTGTTTTGTTCTGTTTTTTCCCCCTATATCTGTGATTTAATCAATGTTGAGCAACATGTAATGTTGATCCAAATGATGATCCAGATGCAAAGTCAAGATTGTTGTTGTGACAAAATATAATATGTGTGTGTGTGTGTGTTTGATTGATTTGATTTTAAAAAATATTGACCGCTAAATCCTCATCTAGAGATTTCAATGTTTGTTTCTGTTATTTCTTTTTATTATTTTGAAGCGTCAAATGGAACAAGTTATCTTTGATATTTAGTTTTCTTTTTTGAATATTAAGGTCTTTATTTTTTCGCATATATTTCATCAAATTCAATTCAATAAGTTAATGTTTGTCTGTCATTTCAGAATGATGTTGATGATCAATCATATTTGATTAAACAAGCGAAAAAAAAGAGAGAGAAAGTGATAGACAATTCCGTTATATTGTTTTGTTTTGTTTGTTGTTGGTGTGTTGATGACCTTATCTCAATTGATTCCAAAACTTATGTAAAATTAATTGATGAAAATATTTTCAATTTGAATTTGTTTACTTAGGAAATTGAAATCCCTTCCCTTTCCCTTATATATATTGACTTTTTTCATGGTCATTTTTCTGTGTCTGATGATTGATAATAATTTTTTTAAAAAAAGTGTGACTTTTCAACATGATGATGATCAAAATTTAGACAAATATTTTCTGTGTGTGTGAGGTGACATTGTTCTAAATATTTCACTTTAACAAAAAAAAAAAATTTAACACCAAACGAAGGTCAGGTAACAAAACACCATTCTCATTTCATTTCATTCTGTTTGATCATTACTAATTTGATTTGATTTGATATTTGGTCATCATTTTTTACGTAATTTTTTCCTGTCTAAAAAATATGCTAATTAAATTTATTCAACAAAAAAACAAGAAAAATTTTCTCGCGCTTTTCAAAAATTGAATTTTTTTTTTCACAGGGATTCGATATATCGATTGTTTGATATATCGAACGTTATCTGTGAATAGTGATAAATAAATGACGTAACCGATTCGAACGAAATTTTTTTCTAAAATTGATTCGACGAAAAGATTTTCTTCAATTATTTTCTTGATAATCATTATTGAAAATCAATTAATTTCTGTTGTTGTTTGTTTGAAAAATCATTCGACTGTATAGAAAATAATGATAATAATAATAATTTCTATTGATTGTGTGTGTCATTTTGTTGCCTGTTTTTTTAATTATCTATCTGTTATTAGTGACAGCAATAATTTGGTAAATTCATATTTTTGTTATATAATTTTGTTTGTTGACAGCAACAACAACAAAATCTACTGTAATTGTCATTATTTACGAGTTTTACGAAGAAGAAATATGACAATAGTTTTTGTCAGTTTACTGATGATTTTTTTTTTTCGAGACCATTTTTTTTGTTTTGTTTGAAAATTATCAAAATTGACAAATCACATAAAAAAATCTTGATTACCTACCAGGATTTTTGTTTTCTTTTTTTTCTCCACCGATTATCAATCCCTAATGACCCTTTTTCTTATCATAAAATCAATGTCGAATGATAAGATTTTTGTTCTATCCTTTTATAATTCGAATGTCAACAACAAACAAACAAACGAAACCAATCAAGAATTAAGAGGTCAAAGTTTTCCTGTAAATCTGTTTGCTTGCCTGCCTATTATTTAACCTTATGACATTTTGATATTGTGTAAAAGGAATTTTATTGTTGTTGCTGCTGCTGTTTGGATCAACCAAACAAAAAAACGAGTAAAGATCCATGTGAGTTTGTTTGTTTTGCTTATATGTTCCTGATGATATTTTTTGTTGTTGATGGCAATCGATGATGATGATGATGATTGAGGTCATAAAGTCGTTACAAGTCATGTTGTTTGTTTGTTATATGCATGCCTGCTGATTTTTTTTATATACACACACACCAGACATTATGATTATAATCATCATCATCCGAAGAAAAAAGAAAATAATGTTATCCGCATCCTTTCACACATCAAATCAAGAAGAAGAAGAAAAGACAGTACAAAGAACAACAGAACAGGAAAAAGAGAGTCTTCAGGGATCATTTATTCAGGATATTAATGAAAATAGCCATAACGTTATGAGTGGGATGATAATTTTTTTTGTTGATAAAAATAGACATTCTTTTTTTTTATTGTAACAACAAATCACATGATAAATAATAGCAGCAGCTAAATTATCTGTCTTCGACAATGGACAGTTGATGAGAATGATTTTCATCATGAAGAAAATTTAGATTATATGAAAAAGGTATTTGATGAAATGATGACAAAGTTTTGGTTGTTGTTGTTTTTAATTCGATTTGGTCACTGCTGTTTTTCTGTTTTTATCATTTGGACATTGTTTAGCTTCCATACCATATGAATAAATTGCATATCGGAATGATTTTCTTTTTGAATTTTGGTTTCATATTGTGATGATGATTGATGATTATCAATGATGATCGATCAATCAAATTTGTTGTTTTTTTGATAACAAACAATGAATCAACAACAATAAGAACGCAATGATGTTTAGTAAAAATGTTGTTGTTTGGACACATCTAGGTTGATTTCTGTAACAATTTTAAATTCTGTAGGATGTAAAGTTTTTAACTACTGCTACTGTTGTTTGAAAAACTCTTTCTTTAGATATTTCAACAATCGAATCTAATCTAATTTTTTGTTTTTTGTTTTTTTTTCTGTTTAACAGTAATGTACATCTATTATACATTATCGGCATTAGGTTTACGACGTTATACATGGTGGAAAAAATATGTCACACAATTACAATTGACACAATTTGTCATTTTTGGTATTTATGGTTGGCTATTTTTACTCAATCAACGTGGTTATCCAAAAATATTTACATTTTTAGGCATCATACAACCAGTTATATTTTTTGCAATGTTTTTTTCATTCTATAAACGTGCATATAGATTATCATCGGATAAACAACAACGACAATCAAAAACAATGAACATAATGGATACTATCGATACCAACACCAACAACAACAACAAGATGACCAATGGATCAACTAAAACAATCATCAACGCTGATGATGAAGATAATAATCGAATTTGTCAAAATGGTCACATTAATGGTAATAAAACCAATGGTCATATTGTTGTTGATAATAAGAAAAATGAATAATAATAATTGACATTGAAGAAAGCAATAAAAACGAAAAAACAACAAAAAAAATTATACAAGATTGACGTTTATGGCTTATATAATATGTTAATTTATAACTCATTGATTTGTAATAATAATAAAATTCAATTGATTGATTTTTTTTGAACTGCTGAGATTCTGATTGAATAATGTTTGTAATTACACATACGCACAACATACACATACATCAAATTGAACAATTAGACACTAATTGAAATTAGTAAAAAAAAATTTATTATTATAATCATTATTATTGTTTGATGATTTTCATTTCCAAAGAAAATCAATGAATTGACCAGATCAAAAAAGAAAAAAAATGATGTTTTTTTACAGATAAATTCTAACTCGTAAATGAAGATCTTCATCAGTTTTACTTAACGATCCTAATTCATTGTTTTGTTGTTGTTGTTGTGGATTATTATTGCTTATACGACCATCCGAATTCATTGTCATTTCTTTTGCCGATTTCATCATTTGTTGTCGATCGGATGATAAATCCATTTGTACAAATTCTTTAATACCACAAGGTGGATTTTGTTTGATTGGTTTTTGAAATGATTCTTTTGAACAAAGACCATTTTCAATCTGTGCTATTGGTACAATTAATTTGGAATTGGTACGTTGTTTAGGTTGTTGTTGTTGTTGACTTTTTGATTCATCAAAATAAAATTGACCACCATCACCACCACCACCATTATTGCTGATCTGATCGGCTGGATTGACAAGATTCTTATAGCCAACAATAGCCAATTCATATGCATTGTTGAATGGCCAATCTAAAAATCGATCATATTCACCTTCGATGATGACCAATTCAAGACTAAACAGTAAAATTTCTTGTGTAGATTCTTCATATGATGGTAATGAATCGATTGTATTATTTGTATCGATTATTGAATTTGATTTGGTTGAAATAGTTTTGATAGAAACGGTCAACACTAATTGACATAGATATCCTTGACCATTTGTATAGAATTCATCGCTAACAAATCGATGTGTTTTCATTGATGATGATGTATGATTATTATTTTTTCCTGTTGTTACTCGACTTGTTGCACCATTATTATTACTTTGTTGTTGTTCACTAATATATCGTTGAAAACGTGCAACTAATCCAGGTAAAAGCCAATTAAATTCCGAAACTAAACGATTATTACGTAATAAAATTGAAGAACGTTGTCTGGATGAATAACGTTCAAATCTTGTTGTAAAACGAATTTTCAATGTATCATCAAGTAGAAAATTATAATGTGTTAATGATAATACTTGAAGTGATTGAATTGTAAGAAAACAAAATTCAGGTTGTGATCCAGGTTGACTGAATGGTTCAGTACCACAATCACTTTTGGATGGTTTTACTTTGATTGATAAATCTCGTTTCCAATAATCTATATAAGGGAAAGAGAAACAAGAGATTAAAGTATTCAATATAAAATGTACAAAATACTAACCAGGACTTTGATCAACAATAGCCATTTCAAATGGATATGGAAATGGCCATTGAAGATAACGATCATGATCACCTTGTACAAATGCAATTGATATTGCAAATGCATTACGTTTCGGTAGAATTGTCAGAAATAATTGAATAAGATAACCATTAGGATGTGTATAGAATGGATCTGCATTCAATATGGCAATTTTACCCGTTGATATGGATTCATTTTTTTTCTCACTAAACCTATCGATTGTCCATAGATAATTGGAAACTAATTCATTATAACGCATTGACATTAATGCTTTATGAAATGTTTTTTCTTCAATATCATTTTCTAGATAAACAGTAAGCAATAATATTAATGTATCATCTTTAAGATAATTTTCTGATTTTAATGTCCATAATGGTATATGACGACGATTACCACAACCATCAGCATTTGAACTATATTCAATATCAGAATTTGGTCGTAAAAATGCTGAACGTAAACGACATTCATCAATATTTGGTATTATTGTATGATTATATTTGGTGTGAATTTTATTATTATCAAAATTTCCAGTTAAAATAGCATTAGTTGTCCAATCATCTAATTCTTCATGTTTAATTACTGATAATATTGTACGATATTTATATGGCCATTCAACTTCTGAATCATAATCACCGGCAACAATACGAAAAAATACACCTAAATATGATATCAAATCGGAATAGGTTGTATTTGTAATCAACAGCATTTGTAAACGATATCCCGGTTCACTTAGGTAAAATCTTGGTGAAAATATTAATTCTTGTTCCGATGAAAGTATATCGGAAAAATTATATACATTCCATATGTATTGTATAACATTTGATCGATTTGGTGGAACATTATTATTGTTGTTGTTGAATGATTGTTCCATTAAATCATCCTCATCATTTCGTTGTGTAAATGATTCATCGCCAATGTTTGTTGCAATTGTAGTTGTAGCATCCATGGTAATTGTTACCGGTATATTAATTTCTTCTTGATCATCATTATTATTATTCGATAGCGAAGAAGAACTATAAGAAAGATTCAATATAGGTGGCTGTAATTGATGAATATGACCATAACTTTTTGGTAGTTGTGTTTCATGAAAATGTCCATTGATGGATGAAAAAATTAATAATAAAATACTGTAGATAATCAAGAAATTATTCATTTTTTTTGTAAAGTTCAAAGATGGCTAATGAAAATAATCAGAATGAATGAACAAATTGGCATAATATAATGATGATCACAAGGATGACCAAAGTCCAATGATTGAAAAAGATTTGTACATTTCTTTCTTTTTTTCAGAATAATGATCACATCTTTCTTGTGTACCGTCAAGGGTGTGAAAGTATTAAGGCGGATACCAAACACATAAAGAACAACAAATTAACAACCAGACAAAAACCAACCGGTTGATTGACCTTAACACGACTGGTTTTTGGTTTCTTGAAGAAGATAAAAGTTTTTTTTTAAATCTAGCTAACCCTGCCAGCCAGCCAGCCAGTCTATCGGTCAATCGATGAACTTTCTTCTCGACTTTCACTTCAAAATCTCATGTTTAAGACAACCTGTTTTCAAAATTCGAGACTTACTTCAATGACAAAAATTGCAACAACAAAAAAAACGAATTTAATTTATTCCAAATATATTAAATACATTGAACAGAATTTTGTCAATTGGGATCATCATTAAAAAAAAGAAGAAAAAAAGTCAAAGAATAATAATAATCATGTAATAATTGTTGCAGTCGGTGGTGGTGGTGTCTTTGAAATATTGTTAGTCGATGATTTTTTAGTTGTTTGTGATGATGATGATGATAATGATAATGGTGCATCATCTAATGGTGAAGATTCAGAACGTGATGAATTTTGACGTTGATTTCGATCACTGGTTGTTTTGATATTATTATTATCATTATTACAACTACTAATACTTCTTTTGATTCGAAATCTTGAACCAGAACTTTGATGATTACCGTGACTAGCGGTATTTTTTAATGATGCAAAAAGTGATCGCATTGCTAAACTTTTATGTTTTTTCGAACTAGATTTTTTATTATTATCACTATTGTTTGATGTAATTGTTGTCGATGATGATGATGCATTCGACGATTGATCTGGTGACATTAATACATAAGTTGATTCTTCTTCGTCTTCAGCTTCTTCAGCTAAATTTTGTTGATGTTGTTGATCATCATCGCTTAGAATTTCATTTGTAGCTAATGGTGCTACTAATTGATTCGAAGTTTTTGTCAATTTACGATCAATAATATTTTGTTCGGGTAATGATTTTGAAAATAAATTATTACGATCATTTTTGTCCATAGATGATCCAGGTGTAAACATAATATAATCTTCATTATCATCATATGATGATGATGATGTATTAATCGAATGTGATTGTTTCGAACTATGTAATGATAAACTATGTTTAAATGTATGAACTAGATGATCCAATTTATTTGAATTTGATTTCTGTGTTTGATGATCTTTCGATGTTGATTTATGAGAATTGATCATTATTATTTCAGAATTTGATTGTGAAGAATCCGAATTTTTACGAGTTCGATTGGAAAAATCTGATGCTGATGATTTTGATTGAGATTCAAATGATGATACAAATTGATCATTGTCTTTTTTGTCCATACCTAATTCATTTTGAATTGTTTCATTCGATGAATCATTGATCTTTTGATCAGTAGCTGTTGATTTTGTTGAGTGATAATGGTGATGATGATTGTGATGATGATGATGATTATGATGATGTTTTTGAAAAGGTCGATGAATATCTTTGTTGCCTTTATTGTTGGCTGAATAATCAATTTCCATTAAATCTCCTTCTTCTGGTAAAAATGATACAGGCAATGGGTGATTATTTAAATGTGGCACTGGTTGAGATGTTGTTGTGGATGGACAAATTGTCATATGAGGATGAGGATGATGACCAAAATGATTATGATGATGAGAACAGGTACAGGATGTGATCGGTTGACCAATCAATGAATGACTGTAGATATTGTGTGATGGTATTTGTGATGAACATTGTAGAAGGGGATTAATTTGATGAACAGAAGATGTCGCCGTTACACTGTTTGATTTATTTTTAAATAGATTATGTAATCGAAGTCCAGCCGGTTTAGATCCTAATGTTAAACTTCTAACTCTTGGTTGAACTAACGATGATAATATAGGTGCACTAGCAGCTTTGTTTGTTGGTTGTTCTTCTATTAACGAACAACATGAACTAGAAGCTGTTTCCATTGATAATGGAAATTGGCAATTACCATAACAATCACCATGGAATTGAGGATTTGTCATTTGTGATTGTTGTTGAGCAGGAATAATTGTTGTCATTTTATTTTTACGTCGAGAATTAAGAAATGCACTGAATTTCATTCCATGACTACCAGTTGAAGATGCTCGAGTTCGGATTGGATGACTAGTCATAGTTGCTGATGATGATGGCTGCTGCTGCTGTTGTTTAACAACTTTATCTGTTTCAATATTTGTTCTGTTCGAAACATTAGGCTGATTATTATTATTACATTGTGAACCGATTAATGGTGCTAATGGTTGTGGTTTACTTCCAGTTGAATAAGCTCGTGTTAATCCATTGAATATAGTATCATCATTTGATTCATTCATATTTACAGGAATTGTTACAGGTATATTCTTACCGGTAGTAGTAGTAGTAGTAGTATTTTCATCATTTCGAATATAAGAACGAACTTTTTCTAAATTAAATTCAATACTATTCGAAATACTATTTGATGTTGATGTGACTATTGGATTTGATCCATCACCATTTGTAACAGACAATGGTGACATATGTAGATAACAATTATCTTCTTCATTGTCATCTGATTTTTTCTTCAATATTTCATCATTAGCTTTTGATGTATCATCATTTGAACTATGAGCATTCATCGGTTTCATTGGAACATAATCGGATGGTTCACCAGCCGGTATAGTGGGTAAATAATGATGATTTTGATTGACAGAAGATTGACCACCATTATTAATACAACAATTAGTGTTAGAAGATGATAATGAAGATGATAATGAACTAGATGATTCATGTGCAAATGAATGCATTAAACAAGCAGAACAATGACATTTTGGAGATGTTATGGGAGAATGATGTGCCTGTTGACCTGATGTTGCAGATGAATGATGATGTTGTTGTTGTTGTTGCAACAACGGTAAATAATACATTTGAAAACAATTTGCACAGGCCTGCATTGTTGCTGATGATGTTGTTTGAGATGAAAATGGAGGTATATAGGCTGGATAAAGATCTAGATCAGCAGAAAAACCTTTTTCGCTGTTATCTTGAACGATAGTTGTTAGATTACCATGTTGTTGATTTGGATGCAAATCCAAACAATTTGTTGGACTAAACATAGTAGCATGAATATGTTGTTGTTCTTGAATATCCGTTTCAGTGGACAAAGAAGAATTTGATGAATTGATTGGATTATTAATTATCTGATTAGGTAGATTATGAATACCACCACCACCAGTACAGGAACTAATTGAAAAATTTGGAAATTATAAAAATGTTGTTCCGAATAATAATAACATACCTAGAAGATTGAGCCAAAGAATTGTTTAGATAGAATGAATTCTGTGATGATGAACATTGACGAGGATGATTATGATGAGAAGTGGGAACTATTGGCGTATAATGATGTGGCATACCATGATGATGACATAGATGATGTAAATTCCATGGAGGTGGAAACATTGGACCCAATGGTGTAGTAGCCACACTGTTGCTAATCGAATTGGAACTGGCACAATATCCTTGAGACAAATCTTCATTACTGCAATCACTTGCAGTATGTGATCTAACACTACCGCCACCTCCACCACCGGTTGATGATGAACATGAATGTAATCTTTCACGAGAATTAACTGGTGATTGTGATGATGTACTACTACTGGTTGCTGGCATACTATTTCGATTATTCATTGTATGATGATGATGATATTGATTAAGACCAGGATGAAATTGAGCTGCCATAAATTGATGCATCATCAAGTGATGAGATTGTCTCGATGATGATTCGGACAATTGATTTGGATCAATTGCATTCGATGTAGAAGAACTTCTTGGTCGATAAGTGACTAATGATGATGCTGTTGATGAACTTTGACCATGATCATCACCTGACGTTGTATTGTTATTATTTGTGCTACTATTTTCTTCAGCATTAGATTTTGAATTTTTATTCAATGTCCAAAATGATGATACTTTAGCATGCATATGTTCAGCAATTGTTTGATCATCAGTTTGTACCCAACATTCACCGGCACCCAATTCGGATAAACGACCAATTTTTAGATAAAAAGTTTTATCTTTATGTCCACAACGATGTATAATTGATAATGGAAATTCATAACGATTCGGTGGATTATTGTTGGCTACACTATTATTATTATTATTATTATTTGAATTGGATGATTCTAAACGAATCAAATACAAAATAGTAGGCATCAAACAAAAACGATAGGTTCCAATTAAAGACCGAGGTAATGCACCATCCACACGATTTATATGTCCTTGCCATATAAAATCTGATTTTTTTTTAAATTAGATGATGTACAGAATTTTCAAAAAGAAAGTAATAATACTTACGAAAATCTCTTAACGATCGACAATGATATTCAGGTGTACGATATAATATCGATCGAATTGCTTGTAACCATTCATTTAATTGTTTTTCATCATCACATATAGTGGCTAATAAATCTTCTTTGGTATAGATACCCAATATAAATCGTTTTTGATCGGGAACACGTGCCACTGCAAAACAATCTACTAACATAATTGTACGACGTGCTGGACATTTATCACGAAATTTTTTTTCATTATCATAATATGAAATTGTTGCTTTGCTCAATGTTAACAATGAATTCAGACGCAGAACAAAAAATCTACGTTTATTTGTCTAATGTTGTTGGAATAAATAAAAAAACAAAACAAATAAATCAAACATGAAATTTTTATAACCAAAAAAATAAAAATACCTTTAATTTACGCATAGTTCCACATTTACGAACATCATCGGTAAAATGTTGTGAACCACCAGTTGAAAATAATAAAGCATTGTTATTATTATTATTAAGACAATTTGCAGCAGCCATACAAAATTGTTCTTGTTGTTGTTGTTGTTGTTCATCACTAATATTAGTTATCGTTGAACTTGTTGAAATTGGTTGATTTGTTGTTGTCGTCGCCGATGATGATGATGATGGAATTGTAGTAGAATCCATGATTATTATTCACTATTTTTTTGCTATGTTGATTCAATGTTGTCGTCGTCGTTGTTATTTCATGTTGAATGAATTTAAAATGAACCTTAACAAAATTAAGAAAATGATTTAGTTTATTATGATGGAAAAAAAATGACAGAAACAAAAAAATTTATTAGCTAACATGTGATATGTACATGATTATTATGATGATGAAAAATGGATGTCAATGTAGCAAAAATCTTAGTATAAAAAAGATTGGTATCACATTAATGTACTAAACATATAAAAATAATAAAACGAAACGAAACAAACAATTTTGTTTTTCTCATCATCATAATCATCATAATGATTGTAATTTAATCATAATCATCATCATCAAAAATAACAACAACAACAACAATAACAAATTAATGATTAGGTCATCACGCTATGATGATTATTTGGTGGTGGTGGGGGAAAATTACTTCCAATATCGATTGGAACATCTTTTCTTTTTTTTTGTCAATTTGTGTGTTCAGGTAAAGGTATAGGTTCAGAGCAGAGCAAATGAGCCTTGTCAAATTATTATTTTGCTTTCACAAAAACAAAAATCATTTGTCAAAAAGAGAGAAAGAAAGAATTATTCCAAAATTGATCATCATAATAATAATCATTGGTGAAAAATGCGCATACTCAAATCGAATGCAAAAAAAAAACAACAACAAATTCGAATTATATAATATCGATTTCGAATGTTTTTTTTTTTTTTGAAAACAAAAATATTTTGGTTTCCAAAACAATAAAGTTTTTTTTTCTTTGGAACCAAATGATTAAGACGCATCGATTTTTTATATTCATTCAACAAAATAAATAAAGTCTTTGGACCTTTTTATGTTTTGTTTTTTGTTTCAATGATGATGATGCCTTTTTTTATTTTGGTTGAGTAGTAGCATTCATTTATGATTACTTTAACCATCCTGACATTTATTAGTACATCATTCATTCATTCATTCATTAATGGATGGACAAAAAGCAACCAGTGTTGTGTCAAATATGTTTTTTTTTCTGTTTGGTAAATATCACCGTCATCATTTCACACAAACACACATCAACCACACAATTATCATTATTTGACGTCAACGTTTTTCACATAAGTTTGTCAAAAAAAACTTTGAAATAAGATACCGGAAAAACATAAAATTTGTACCAAAATTCTGGATCGATATGTTTGTTGTTCATCAAAAAATCAAAATCCAGTACCATATGACAAAATTCTATATAGAAATGATGATGATGTTTTTTTTTCTTGCAACCATCATCATCATCATCATCATNTAGCAAAAATCTTAGTCTAAAAAAGATTGGTATCACATTAATGTACTAAACATAAATAATAATAAAACGAAACGAAACAAACAATTTTGTTTTTCTCATCATCATAATCATCATAATGATTGTAATTTAATCATAATCATCATTATCAATAAAAACAACAACAACAATAATAACAAATTAATGATTAGGTCATCACGCTATGATGATTATTTAGTGGTGGTGGTGGGGGAAAAAAAATTATTTCCAATATCGATTGGAACATCTTTTTTCAGAAAAAAAGTTCAATTTTTGTGTGTTCAGGTAAAGGTATAGCTTCAGAACAGAGCAAATGAGCCTTGTCAAATTATTTTTTTTGTTTTTTGTTTTCACAAAAACAACAAAAATCATTTGTCAAATGAGAGAGAAAAAGAATTATTCCAAATTGATCATCATCGGTGAAAAATGCGCATACTCAAATCGAACGCAAAAAACAAATTCGAATTATATAATAATCGATTTCGAATGTTTTTTGGAAAACAATCAATATTTTGGTTTCCAAAAAAACAATAAAGTTTTCTTCTTTGGAACCAAATGATTAAGACGCATCGATTTTTGTTTTTGTTTTCATTCATTCAACAAAATAAATAAAGTCTTTGGACCTTTGTGGTTTTTTTTTACTGATGAAGTTTTTTTTAAGAGGTAGTAGTAGCATTCATTTATGATTTCTTTTAAAAATATATCCATCCTAACATCATTTATTAATTGGATGGACAAAAAGCAACCAGTGTTGTGTCAAATATGTTTTTGGTAAATATATCACCATCATCATTTCACACACACACAAACCAATTATTATCATTATTTGACGTCAACAACAACGTTTTTCACATAAGTTTGACAACAACAACAAAAAAAAATTTTGAAATAAGATACCGGAAAAACTGAAAATTTGTACAAAATTCTGGATCGATATGTTTTTTCATTTGTTGTTCATCAAAAATCAAAAATCAAAATCCTTTTATCCAGTACCTCTAAAGATGAAAAAAAATGTCCATATGACAAAATTCTATATAGAAATGATGATGATGATGTTTTTTTTTCTTGCAACCATCATCATCATCATCATCAT